AGAAAGAGATGTATCCATAGGTAAAAGCATAACTAGTTCATGCAATGAAATGACCATTACCCAGCTGGAAGCAAGGTGAGTGTCTATTAATTTTTATTTTCTTGGTGCTCTTCCATTTAACTTGTTCATGTAAATACTTTCTAGCTCTATATTGTGATTTTGTACCATTTGCTATTGAGAAATCAATTTTGAAGCCTTATATGTATCTTGAGAAATTAGAAGCAAATATTGACTATGTACACTTTATGACACCACCTTCCAGGCATACACTTTCAGGGTTCTTGGCTTTAGCTTACAATCTATTTCGAAATTGATCGTGTAACTAACAGAAAACAGGCACAACCTTTTACCAGTTACAAGAGCTTGAACAAAACCTGAAGTTGAGATTAAGTGAAACGCGCTGTAAGTTCACTACAAAACATAAATAAATAAATGTGACATTAATGGCGGGTTTAAGGTCTCAGCTTTTCTTCACTACTTGTAGTCTCTAACAAATTTAAAAATTAGCAGTCAGCAATCCATACAAAATAGACTAAATTTAAATGCACATCTTCGTTTTTCATTCTGCATTATTATCGCATCAAGAGTTAGTTATAGATAAGTCGATCCTCTACCCAAGCCATTCCCAATATTAGCATGTGGGTCTCGCATTTCCACAAACACCTGGAGTGCAATCTCACATGATTGTATTCATGCAATAATTTGACAGAATTTTCTTGTAACCAAAACACAGAAAAATGCATAGCATAGGACATCATTCATCAGTACAACAATTGCGAGACTTTTCTTTATGTTATTGAGCAAGTCTTTTGCTTTTTAACCAAAATAGGACGAGTATAAATTTACTTGATGTTACTATAGATATTACAAATATAAAGTGAGCAACAAAAAATTGCATACTAGAAGACAAATAATTGATGAGGCAATGGCTAGCCAAACCCAGATCAGGGAAAATAAAACAAAAAGAAGCAAAAATTAACACCTACTTCAGCCAAGTGGAAAGAGAACAGAAAAGTGGAGAAGTCGGCGGAGGACAATTAGAGCAATATTTTAACATCTTCTAAGAGTATTTTTAGCAGATTTGTAATCTCTTAAAAATTCTTGATTCAATAAGTCATAAATTTTGAAACACAAACAACAATAGAAAGAATTTCTTTTTTAATTGTTGAGTAGTTTTTTTGGACATTTTCTCAAATTTCAGGTATAAATCTGATTTTTGTATTTTAGATTCTACCTTCGTAACCAAAATCAAAGGCGTCAGGAAATTGTTCAATTCAGGGCCTATTTGATATTGATTATGAAAATTAATTTTTTTTTAGAGAGAAAATTGTGTCCTATTTGTGAGCGTGAAGAAGCCAAAAATGACGATTGACTATTGAAAGTGAGAGTCAAAAAATTGATTTTTTTGGGGTGAAAATCAGAATCAAACTGGACTGAATGGTCGCTGAACTTTGCTATAAATTATTACTTGCTTACTTATCTTTGAAAGTTGCTCGTAGTCCATTCAACTTTGTTATAGATTACTACTTACTCATCGAAATTTAAAAGATTATTCATTGCTCACACAAATTTGAATAAAGTTACCCGTTGCTTACTAAAATTTACAACAAGTAACACTCATGAAAATTAGATGGGTGATTGATGAGAAACTTTATTTAACTTTGGGTGAGCAATAAGTGCCGTTTAAATTTCGGTGAACAAGTAGTAATTTATAGCAAAGTTCAACGAGCGAAGAGTAACCTTTTTAAATTTAGATGAGGAAGTGGTAACGTTTAGTAAAGTTTAGTAGTCATTGATTGAATTAACTCTACCAAAAAGTTACTAACAAATTATAAATGGTTACTGAGTGAATTTCTGTTTGACTATGGGATCGTGCTGTTTCTAGTAGTCGTTATGATTTTAGGTAACATTTGATAGCGCATTTATTCAAAGAAATGTTGAGGATTGAATCCCACACTAGAAATCCTTCTTTTTCTTCTTTTTTACCTTTCCTTTACTTTTACTTTTCCTTTTAATTATTTAAAATGCACAATAGTATTATAGTCATTTTAACAAAGTCATAGGCACGTAGATTTAGGGCCAGACCGACTACTCCAAGAGCGCTCATCCATAAACCGATTACTGGTACAAATAACATAAAGAAATGTAACCAACATTTATTGGAAAAAGCAACCCCAAAGATTTGGGACCAAAAGCAATTAGCGGTGACCATTGAATAAGTTTCTTCAGCTTGAGTTGGGTTAAAGCGCGGAATGTATTTGCACCATCACCATCTTCAAATAAAGTCTTTTCTATGGTAGCACCATGAATAGCGCATAGCAAAGCAGCACCTAATACACCGACAACTCCCACCATATGAAATGGGTTTAGCATCCAATTATGAAATCCTTGAAAAAAGAGGATGAATCGAAATATAGCTGCTACGCCAAAACTAGTGCAAAGAACCAACCAGACTGACCTAATGGATAAATCAGGAATACAGAAACAAAAACAGCAATTAGACCAGAGAATGCGATTGTATTATAGGGTTACGATTGAACAGATCGAGCAAGTTCGAATTGATGTAACATGAAACCTATTAGTCCGAAAGCGCCATGGAGAACAACAAAAGTCCACAGACCGCCTAATTGACACCAACAAGTAAAATCTCCTTGTGTTTCAGGACCCACAGTAACAATAAAGAATACTCTAAATTATTAGCAAAAGTAGAAACTGTGACTGTTAAGAAATTACAGCCTTCCAAATAGGAACTGGCCAATCCATCGGTATACTATGAAGGTACAAAGGTTGTACCTGTGAACCAATCCCCTACAACGAAATAGGTATAAGGAAAGAGCAATAGACAGGACCAGCCAAAAAAAACAAACGGTCCCTCCGTAACCAGTCATCCATAATATCAAATAAATCATTTTCGTTTTTGGTAAATTTACCAAGGGCTATAGTCATAATCATCCTCCTATTCAACTACTTTGACCATTTCCGAGCACCACATAGTATTTTCGGGGCGTCCGAAGATTCGATTATTTCTCTATGATTTATCTTGCACTGTCCCTTCCAATGGGTTTCGAAGATCAAAATCCTTTATTGGCCCATAAACTGACCTAGGGAAATCCATAAACTCAATTTGATTATTCTTTCTTACTAAGCATATGAACCATGAATTGTCTTCTTATGATTCATCAATCGGATAGATGAATCCTTTGAAAGAACTTTTCAAGGAACAAGCGATCCCCTCTCTCACCATTAACCGATCCTCCGACCTACCCCCTCTTGTTCAATTAACTAATGTTACTTTTAGATCTTGTTCGTGAGATTTTTCAAAATAAAGAGATCTACAGACTATTCTAATTTCTATGTATACTAAACTATTACAATTACTTTATTTTATTAATTTCTTTTTTCATTTTCTTTGAGTGTCTTCTTTATTATATCTCATTTTCCTTTAGATAAATCTAAAACTCCAAAGTATATCTTCTCACGGGTCAAAGCAAAAAAGACATTTCGAATATTTTTCTATTGAGTTTAATCTCTTAAAAAGAGAGAATTTCCTATTTTTTTCATAAAAAAAATGAAAGTCTCTTTCTCGCATCCATACTCCATCACACTGTCGAAACAAAAATATCGGATGCAGCGATATAGAAATGTTTGGTACATGAAGTCACGATCTGATAGATATCTATCTAAATATACTTAGATAGATATAAATTCATCTTGATCTGTAATCAAAGAAAGATAATGGAAATGACTCTTATCTTGTGACTTGGAAGAAATGT